TTTGTACATTTGTTGCCCTCATCATTCTCAAAACATTTGCTTTCTACTGGCGCCCTTGGTATCAGCTCCTCATTTTTATCCCTACCTCCCCGCCCCCACCTCTCATGAACCCTTGATAATTTGTAAATTATTATTATTTTATCATGTCTTACACTGTCTGACGTTTCCCTTCACACACTTTTCTGTTGTCTGTCCCCCAGGGAGGGGATTTTATGTAGGTCCTTGTAATTGGTTCCCCCTTTCTACCCCACCTTCCCTCTACCCTCCTGGTATTGCCACTCTCACCACTGGTCCTGAGGGGGTTCATCTTTCCTGGACTCCCTGTGTTTCCAGTTCCTATCTGTACCAGTGTACATCCTCTGGTCTAGCCGGATTTGTAAGGTAGACTTGGGATCATGATAGTGGGGGGAGGAAGCATTTAAGAACTAGAAGAAAGTTATATGTTTCATCACTGCTACACTGCATCCTGAGTGGCTTGTCTCCTCCCCGAGACCCTTCTGTAAGGGGATATCCATTAGTCTTCAGATGGGCTTTGGGTCCCCACTCTGCACCCCCACTCATTCACAATGATAGGATTTTTTGTTCTTTGATGCCTGATACCTGATCCTATCTATACCTCATGATCACACAAGCTGGTGTGCTTCTTCCATGTGGGCTTTGTTTTTTCTCAGCTAGATGGCCACTTGTTTATCTTCTAGCCTTTAAGACCTCAGACACTATATTTTTGATTTAGTGTCATTTCCTTTGCCCCTCTCCCAAGGACCAGCTGGTGGTTTTGAACCACTGATCTTGAAGTTAGCAGTCCAACACTTAAACTACTAGAATTCATGCCCACATGAAACTTATTTAACACATTTTATTTCTCCGTAATGTACATCACAGTCCTCTTGCACTTAGAAACACCAGGCAGCACTGTTTTCCATGTGATCCTACTGTGATGCTACTGTATCAGAAATACCATAAGTGGATGGTGTTAACAAACAGAAATGTATTCTCTCATCGTTCAGGAGGCTAGGAGTTTGTATTTACCCTGCAGCTCTCGGGAAGCCTTTATTTCTTTGTAGTCTCCGAGGTTCTGGTCTCCTTTCAGCGTCTGTAAGTTTAGAATTCCATGGAGATCTTCATCTGTCTTGGTATGAATCTTCCCTTGGATTTAAGCGGTTCCCAGTGCTGCGTCTGGACCCCAAAGACAGACTCCGCTCGTAGTTCTTCTGTCTGGGTGGTATTACGTACCTATCTTCCTCTTGCTTCTAACTCCTTTGATCTCTTGTAAGATAAAATGTGTTGCAGGCCACACGCCAGAAACTTCCCTTACATTGGATCTTCGTTGGGATGGAACGGAAGGTGTTGCAGCCTACCCTTCATCGTTTGATGATTGATTGGCTGATCACCTCATGGGAGATTATTACGTAACAGCCAAACCACTGAAAATCAGGGCTCACGCCAAGTTAACACAAACTGTTGGGGGACACAGTTCATGATAGTATATTCTTTGCTCACATTATTTTGTGTGCATTTTATTTGTGCTGAAAAGAACGACCCCTGTAGACTGGACTCCGGAGTTCCAGCACAAGAAGGCTTTGACTCTTCATGAGTCACACTGATGGTTGACGGCACGTAGCCAGCCGACACTTTCCTAGTGCCTGGATGTCCGTTACTGCGGCACCAGAACCAGTTCCTGGTTTTGATGCTGCCACCACTTATCCCCCTACCTCCCGGAGGCCTTGATCTTCTTGGTTCCTCCTCCTCCGGGACCTCACATCATAAGTACCTTTTACTGACCCTTGTGGGTGAAGTTACCTGCTGTAGATGCGTTTGCAGATTTGGAGCCTCTGAAGGTCTCTGGGCTTTTTCTCCGGCACATTCAGAGCGATGGTAGAATGTGTTCCTATAAAACTCTTGCCTCCTCTCCCCATGTCCTCCTCTCCCTCTGAGTACTGTCCACTTTGTGTCTGTGCCTGGGCTCTGAGGCAACACAAGATCAGCAAATAGATGCATCTTCCCTGGGCTCACGGTGCTGCCATTGTAGTCAGGCAGTCCATGTACATGGGCCTCGGAATCAGAACAGTGCTGTGGGTGCATACCCTTGGGCAAAACAGCACATTTCCCTGGCGTGATTTTCTGGTGGAATGTGATCTGTATTATTTTGGAGTTCTTAGAAGCGTTCAGGGCAGGATATGTGCCTGACACCTGTGTGGTTCATGGTGGGCCCTCAATGAATGGTAGCGCTGCCTCTTGCGCCCTCCTCCTCTTGTCTAGAGTTTCCACTGGGGCTCACCGTGGGCCGAGGAGCAGGATACTGATTGACTTCAGAGAGCTGGGGGGAGCTGTTTTCCTTTCTTTTATGGGCAGACGGACACATAACTATGGATGAGTGGATCTTACGGACTGATGGAGGCATGCGCCATTTCATCAGTATTCATGGCCTGTGTTTCATTCTCCCCACACTGGCATCTGTTAAAACCCAGACTCAGGAATTCCGAGATGTGGCTTTGGCAGTGATGTGTTCTTGAGATCCCAGGCTCTGACAGGCCTGATTTTACAAGGGATGGACCAGAGGTAACTTCGGGCACTTCAGAACCCACTCTCACGGAGGCAGGGGCAGGCCCGCCTAGGCAATGGGATACAGAATCTAAGATACTCAATCAGCACCAGGCGGCGAGCCTCCATTTCTTTCTTTCTTTTGTTTTTTTTTTAGTTTTAAGTTTGTTTTTTTTTGTTTTGTTTTGTTTTTAACATTTTATTAGGG